AGTGTCAGTGTCAGTGTCAGTGTCAGTGTCAGTCTGACCTGCAGCACTGCGTTGATGAGCAGCAGGTCATCAGTGGGTTTCCAGCGCCCCAGGTCTTTGGTGATCTGCAGTGGCTGTTTGCTCTTCTTCACCCTCTTGGTGATGGGAGTAGGTGCAGCCACAGTGGTCAGAGGGGCCACCGGCGTGCTGCTGGACTTTGACACCTTCATGGTAAGAGAGGAGTCAGACAGGGACCTGGACTATCTGATGTACAGCGAAGCGAGCTTCCTCTATTTCTGAAGCCAGCCAACTCTTCCCTGGAAGAACCACCACCTCAGAGCTCCCCAGCACACAGTGGACAGTACTGCAGCTTGAACAGTGAGCAGGCAAACTTCAGGCTACAAGGCCTATGCCGTATCCTGACAAGAGCTTTATATCAGAACATTAGCTAGAGTCCTTAACGAAGGTTTAATAGCAAATTTTAGATCTACAGCAAAAAAAACAAACAGAAAGTGCTGTTTTCTTTTTACTATAACTGCATGTTTCCTGCAGTCGATTCCCCCGCAAGACCTGATTTACACTCGCATGCTGTTGCTGATCTCCCAGGATAACTGCACTCCACACTATCAGTGTAACAGGTGACAGGAAACTGTGGTTTACCTCACACTCACACTTAGCTCCGGTCGCCTGTGCCATTCCACAGCAGCATAAACTCAAATGTGCGTGTGTTATCTTAAATCAGAATTGAAATGACTATGTAATACACATGCATAGCTCTCCAATAGCTTAACAGCATGAGCTCACTAATTTTGAAAAGCCTAACACACATTCAGAAACAGACCCCGTCTGAAGCAGCGTGTCTATTTCTAGCTCTTGCACATGATTGTACTCTGAGCCTCAGTGTGGTGCCACCTCCACGTCTCCATGTCTGTTACCTTCTTCTTCTCATTGGAAGAGGGCTCACTGCCAGAGCAGCGCGCCGGCTCTATCACTGGGGGGCCCTTCACCCGACTGGACGATTTGGCCAGGCTGCTCTCCACCAGTTCGTCATCAAACTTCTTACGTTTTATAGACCTTGAGAGAAGGAAGGGAATCCCTTAGTGCCTTAAGAGATCTGCAGGTTTGTACATGTGGAAGACATCCTTAATGCAAATAAGACTTCTTTGTTCTTTTTCATCCACCTCAAACATGAGTGATTTCAGGGATATACATCCCTCTGGAGTAACAGTCCTTAACCTTACTGCAGCCTGCACCCTCTTGGTTCTCAAAAATATGTTCTCACACCCCTGATCAAAAATCAGTGGGGCAGTCCTCTAAACTTAAGACATAAAATAACTAAAGAATGAAAATGATAATTACATTTATTTTAACTTTGCAGTAAAACTAAGAATACATTAAAAACTCCATACTTTTTAAAAATAAAACAAAGTAGTTGTCTTTACATGCCAATGCTTAATTTGTTTTTTTTGATGATTTACCTCCTAAAAAAACCCAGGGGGTGTGTGCATCCCAGGTTAAAAACCACTGCACTAGAGCTTCACACAAAATAACATATTTCAACAGTTAATGATCACTCATTCAACACTTAACTTTACAAGTGTGTAAACAACGGCTGGGCAACACTTTACTACTGATGCAGCATTTTCTAAAAACTTTTGGTTAACAGCATTGCCAACACACGAAAAACAGTGCATCTTGGAACTAGGGATTACAATGCAACAATGCTAGAACATGACCTTTAGTGCAACGTGGCAATTGCATCTTCCTCTTCAGAATGATTTCACCAGAACTCATAGAGCTGAGCTTGTTTTTGTAGCTGAAGTTGCCACAGGACGAGATGTGTGTGACCAAACGTGTTAACCGCTTGCGTGTCAGAGATGGAGAAAGAGTCTGAGAAGGTTAGACAAACCTTTTTGTGAGAACTTCCGTTAACGGGACATGGCTATCTCTTTTGGACATGTCTGTGGGACTGTGCATACAACTGCCTTTGACTGTTTAAAGACAGCGGGTAGGAGTCGCGCTGACCTGGACGAGCGAGCGAGTTTCGGACTCCTCCTCTGCTGGAGGCCCAGCTCATGGCAGGAGTCTCTCCCCAAGTGTTTTTACTACATGAGTCAGTCCGTGTGGGTTTCAGGCTCATCTTAATGAGCCCTGTCCTTTGCATCCTCCCCTGCTGTAAGCCTAATTAGTACAAAGCGTGAGCAAGAAGTGAAGTGTGTGCAGACGCAGGAAGAAAATGAAATCATCTTTTTAAAAGACTGTGTGCAGATAATGAAGGAAATGCAAGATGTTTTTAGCCTAAAGCAGACAGAATCACCAGAGCTCTTCCAATAACTTTACATCAATGTCAAGGAGTATTAAACAGTCACAACAGAACTTGTAGAACTTGTCCTTATGTGGGTTTCTGTTGTGATGTTTTTTATAAAGAGATCATAAGCCATAAGAATAAAAATCAAGCAGCACGTTCTGATTTTTCTCTAGAGAACAATTAAAATCATCAGTGTGCTTTTGCGTTAAAAAATCAGTAAATCAGTAAAAGCCACATGATTTCCTTTTTTTTTTTAGTTTTAACTACGGTCTCCTTCAAAACGCAAAGCACAAAAAGGGAGAATTCTGGAAATTATAATAGCTTTCCTCACCTCCGGTGTTCTAAAGCTAAAAGGTTGAATAGCTTACATTCTAGCTAAGTTCTCAACTGGCTAATGAACTCATTACTGCAACAAGCTAGACTCCTTTTCGGGGCTTAAACAGGAAACAACTGCAAGACACCCAGCCTGCTGGTCTGTAGCCTCAAGGCCCAATAAAGGGGAAGACTTCTGTATAAGTCTTCTACACTGTATGCACCTATACAATGTTTTGGACTATAAGTAGTTCCAATAGGAACACTCCAGAGTCTCTTTCTGAAGTAGGAATTAACAGGTACAGGCCTGCAACTTCTCACAAAAAACAAAATTATTTTATGTTACCTCATTGTAAGAATTATTAAATTAACTGTTAAAGAACACTTTTTAACCAGGTAGCAAATAAGTTGAATGGGTAATGTATCACACATCAATTCAACATATCTTCAATTTTATAGTTATAGCACAAGCATGAGCCAATAATGAGATAAACTACATGAAAGGAGGTAAATCTATTATAAAAGCAAGAACCCCCCTCTGTTCTTCAATGTAAATAGTGTAGTGCAGGAGCAGTCACCTTCCTGAAATCCAGTGTGAATCATTCACGACAGCCAGGCGTTTATCATTATGTTAAAGAACGACAGGTGGTCAAATCCTGCATTGAGGAAGGACTGAAAGGTTTAATCCTGGTGCTGTGAATGTGAGCGCAGAACTGCGGGCAGGAGAGAACAGAACACACGAGTGTGCCCACAGTACTGGAGTCAGGAGGGAACTGAACGCACAAGTGTGCCCACAGTACTGGAGTCAGGAGGGAACTGAACGCACAAGTGTGCCCACAGTACTGGAGCCAGGAGGGAACTGAACGCACAAGTGTGCCCACAGTACTGGGGTCAGGAGGGAACTGAACGCACGAGTGTCCCACAGTATTGGGGCCAGGAGAGATTTGAACGCACGAGTGTGCCCACAGAACCGCGGGCAGGAGGGAACTGAACGCACAAGTGTGCCCACAGAACCGCGGGCAGGAGGGAACTGAACGCACAAGTGTGCCCACAGAACTGCAGGCAGGAGGGAACTGAACGCACAAGTGTGCCCGCAGTACCGCAGGCAGGAGTGAACTGAACTCATGACTGTGTGCGTGACTGGGCTGACTCAGTAAGCCAGGGTGTGGTGGGCTGACCTGGACGAGCTGCGTCGTTTGGGCACTCCTCCAGAGAAGGCCTGGGCAGCAGTTCTCTTCGTGTCCTTCCCCAAGGCCAGATCCTCATCCTCGGAGCGACTCTGCACCGCAGCACACCCCGCTGATCCTGGCACTACGCTCGCACCCTGTAGATCTACACACCACACATTAAGGTTAATTAAATACCACTCTTGCAAATCTATTCAGCTGCAAGCTTTTCACTGGTTTGACTAATTGACAAAGAATTTAACTATATTATAATATACCTGTAACAGAGACCAGCAGTGGTATGGACTGCAGGCAGCAGTATTTGGACTGCTGCTATTTGATGCCAATAAGAGTATCTTAATTTATTTTGTTTTTTATTGTTTACCTAATTACCTTGCCATAAACTATAGAAGAAAACAACTTCCAATGAGGAGAAGCAGTCTTATTACATTATAAACATCCAGGCTTGTGAATACATCTCTCTTAATATTGCTCTCGACTTCAGGACAGTTTTGCCAACAAATACTACTTACTCGTTAACTCTGCATGCAGGTCACGTGGGAATATTTCTGCACTGAAATGTCTGCTGCACAACCTGCATTTATTCACTGGTACATCGCATTACATTAGTCATTACAGTGACTAGTGAACAGGAAGGGACGCTTCACGTCACAATTTGTGGGAACTCGAATGCGAGTTTGCGACAACACAGCGACATACGGTACTTTCACAAAGTTCACACTTTTGTGCTTAATTAAAAATGTAATTTTTTTTCCTATAATGTCAATGAATTTGTTTTGTTACTGAGATTGAATAACCAGCCTGATCAATTGGGACTGCAGTTAACCTTTAATAAGGGGATTCATTATTAATTAGCTGCTAACTGAACAAACAACAGGAGACACAGAGACACAGTCCTGCATGACAGGAGTTGAGAATGACCTATTATTTTTATTATTACTAAGTCTGCCACATCCAGATGTTTGTAAGGCTGGAGTCATTCCAAGTCATTCCCTACAGACATGCTTTTCCAGATCCTGACACAACAGGAGAGTGAGATACTGGTGCTGTTGCACCACACTGGACTAACAGCAGGCAGACAGCAGCCTGGAAGGTCACCCCCTTGAAGAACGCACAGTGATATCTTCATAATTAAGACACGACACAGACATTGCAGCTTCTTCCAAAGGCAATGGACCTAACAAGTGTAAATAACACACTGTGCTGCACTTAGCGATGTGCATCTCTTCTAAGAGCGGGATACAGGAAATGCTGTAAAAGACACCTGTTCATCAAGAGACTTCCAGAGTTAATCCAGTCATCATCATCAAAGTAACTTCTTAAAGCACTTAACAGTAAGAAAAAAGGTCAACAAGGAGAAGATATAACAAAATGAGCAAAACTAAAAACAAGGTTTTAGAATGCAGAGGAAGATATAAGAGGCAGACATAAAACTAATGAAGTAAAAGCCTTTCCAAAAAAGAAGGTTTTGAGTTTTGATTTGAAGGTGACTCTCTGATGTCCTTGGGGATAGAATTTGAGAGCTTTGAGGCATTTGAGAGAAGGCCCTGTCACCTATAGAGTGTAGACAAGCTTGGGGGATAAACAGCAGACCAGAGTCAGACAAACAAAGGTTTGCAAGGTGCGAAGAAGGAAAACAGCAGCTTAGACAGGCACTGAGGTGTGGAGCCATGCAGAGCCTTCTAGGTGAGCATGACGATTTTAAAGTCAACACAGAACCTGACAGGATTCCAGGACAGGAGTAAGGAGACCACTTGCATGCGACCTGGCCAAGATCACCACAGGTGAAGAACCTCTCTTTCAGCCCAGTCACTCCAGTGAGGTTTCTGATGGGACTTACCCGGCTCCATAGCCTGCGCTCAGTCCCTCTGCTTCAATCAGCCTGCCTGCTCATTTGCTCCTCAGGGATCAGTCCGCCTGCCTGTAAACTAGCGTTCGCCCCCTGCTGAAAGGAAGGGGAGGCACACAACAATCACTTACCCTGCCAGAATCAATCCACGCGATGTCAGCGTGGTGGTTCAATATCCTTTAGTGTTTAACAAACAATACTTAAAAAACGAAAGAGAAGCAAAGTTTTTTTTTACAAAAATAATGTCATGTTTGAATAAAACACAAAGATTTATTTTAATGTAGCCAGGTTTAAAAAATGAACGTGAATTAGTCTATAAACCGAGACTAGTATTTTTACATGAACACTTCTATTCTGCATAAAATGAGAAAGCACAGCATTTCACTTCTCTGTTTTAAGAATAATTTTCATATTTAAAGTATGTATTTTCATCTATATCCACCTCTGAAACTTTGGTTGCAAGATGTTGTTTACAAAAGCACAGGTATCTTACCCGACCTCGGAATCTCTATCCGCTTCCTGCCAAATTACTCTTCTAGCTCCCGTTTTGAAACTCAGGCCAAAAAGTAATACATTAAACGTGTCCACCTCTTTTACACATAATCCATTTTTTATAATTGCACTGTAGGATAAAGTAAAACTACCGTAAAAGGAACAATACAAATATCACCGCTCCTAGACACAAACACTTCCCGGGTCATACGGAAATGACGTTTTGGGTCATCCCTGAAGTCATGTGACATTGTTCGTTGTAGTGGCGGAAATAGGGAGCAAAAACTTGGAGATGTTGCCTCAGTTTAATGTATGATTATTATTGCACTGTAATTGTTGTTTATTCCTTCTATTCCTTTTGTTAAACAAAAGTAGATAGCCTGTAAGCAACAATCTCTGGACTTTGGTTCGTCTAAATGATATCAGCAAAATCTCGATGTCTTTTTCTCTGTTCGACAATGTTTTGTATTTGTTGCAATTAATTACGTCAATGAGAAACGTTTATCTTGGCTAAACGGGGCAAATTATAGTTTTTATATCATCGGAGGACAGAACAGAAGCTGGTCAAGAAGAAAATAATGATCAGATTAATTGGCGTCTTTAAATTGCCCTGTAAATTAGTGTGCACATGAAGGACTGGTGGGTTCGGCTCCAGTTTACCACGTCTTTACTTATTGTTTGACAAAAACTTTATACCTCAATGTATACCAATCTAAAAATTAGTAAACACTCTAACATAGCATAAAATATCTACGAAGTTAAACACATTCTTAAAAGGGTGAGTGTCCGTTTTCAATCATTTCACTGTGCAAGTGGTTGCTGGTGCTGAAATTGCACGATGAAAGACTGCCACTTGCTGTAGTCCGTATCTATTTTCCCTGTCCTGGCCCTGAAACTGCGATAGTCCAGTTCTCCGCAGAAGCTCGAGGGAATATGTGTTTTTCCTCCTCAGCACCTGTAAACGGGGTGTTTTGTGCACTTTTATGTTTTCATTGTTTACTTTTTTTAATTTAAAGCACTTTGAGAAGTCACGTTTAAAGGTGCTTTATAAAATAATGTTGTTATTATTATTATTATTATTATTATTATTCAGTTCTTTTAGCATGAATATCATGTCAGTCATGTCTGGACTGGATATCAGAGAAGTTACTGTGTATGTTTTTAATGTGAGTACCTCAGTACTTGCAAAAGCAGGGTCTGTGCTCTGCAGGATCTGAGGGTTCTGACCACCCCCCTGTGAGGGCTGTGTGAGTCTGAGAGCTGAGATTCACCAACCTTGAGCACAGCTGAGGAAATGGGGTGCATTCGAACATGCACCAGAAATTGTATTTCCTAGACCTGCTAAACAAATCTGTTTCCCAACCCAGTTTTATTCAGTGGTATAGAGCCATTGTCAAGAGCATTCTCACGGCTTCTATAACTGTTCAGTCATGCATCTGTCCCTTCTGGAGGAAAACTGCAACACATTTTCTGCTGTGCAGAGAGAGTGAGCAGCTGCCATGTGCCATCTGTTGAAGGTCTGTATAAACTCAGACTAAGGAAGTGAGCAAAAAAGACTGTCCATGCCTTCTCTCATTCAGGACAACCCCTCTGGGTCCACATTTGCCTCCGGGAGACGCTACCAAAACCAAAACTGCTCAACAACTGAATGGCTAATTCCTCATGGCCCTCACTCTGCTTCACCAGAACACGTGCATACGGATGTAGTGTGTTTATAACTGTGGACCTGTGTATGTTCTTTGTGTGGAGTGAATATGTATTATTGATTGTTTCCATGTTTTTGCACCAAACTGCCAGATTAAATTCCTTATATATGTAATTTACTTGGCAAATGAAGTGATAACTGATTTGAAAACCCTCAAAGGGCACCGACAAAAGTCTACCCAACAGTGAAACACAACCCAGAGGACACAAGTGGAAAATAAAGAAGTGATATCTTAAACTGAGAACAATGCCTTTACACAAAAGGTGGTGGGAGTCTGGAAAGAGCTAGCTGGATTTGTTTGTGGTGGCTGCTAGCCTGGCTTGTTTTAAGAAACGGCTGGACGAGATCCTCTGATCAGTTAGTTAGTTAATGCCAATAATCCACAGCGCAATTCTAGAACCGCTTCCTGTTAGAAGCGTATTGTGGGCTACCACAAAGGCTATTGTGATGTGTAGCGCTATTGGCCAGCGCCCCTGCGGTCACACTTGTCTGCGGAACACCTGCCTGCCAGTTTTCGAACGATCCCCACCTACTGGACCCGAAAACAAAGAGACAAATGATTGTTTTGATGGTCACTGGCCTGTCTCCCGAGCCTCGCTCAAACCCGCTGACGCACAGATTCGCTCCGCAGTTCTCCGGTGGCGCGCAGAAAGGATGACACGGAACGGTTGACAAGTTAAAACATTCAAGGAGGCCGTGTGAGTATGACGTCTCTCTTTCCTCTGCGCAGCAGATTGCTATGCCTTGGAGGTGCGAATGATTTATGATTGAACAAGCTCTCATTTCGCAGAACGACCTTCACTTTAAAATATCTACACCTGGTGAGAGTGCGGTGTTAAAGCGCTGAACAGCCGACGGAAAGACCCTAATCCGTTCTGGAAAGAGCGGCTGAACTACAGTAGTTGAATCGATAGTCACAAAGCAGTTTTGAAATACAGTTCTTCTGTATCTTCGTTTTCAAACTCAAACGTGTTTTGTTCTTCATTCACAAGCATAATCGTCCCCCGAACTTGATTTCCTAAGGATTTCTATATCACAGAGCCGCTGTTATCTACGATTTGCGAAGTAAATAGGCTACTATTCAATGAGCATCGTATTCTAAACTAAGACTCCTTTTACTTTGGCTCCAAACTGAAAACGACAAGAAACACGAAGCGTGGTGTGTTTTTAATGTGCGTCAATACAACTGTTATCTCCAATTTGGGTGAGAACTGGACAACAACAACAACAACAACAACAAAAACAACAACAAAAAACAAAGTTAAAAAAGATTCCTTAACATTTGCCTTACAATTAGCATCGAATTAATGGATTTAATATATTTTCAGTGAATGATTCAACTCTAGATGAAGGTGAAATCGTGGAACCCTAAAACTGTATTAAAATAGATTAAACTTGGTTTTGTAGAGGGATCGGTTTGTAACTGAAAAGCGGAGTGGGACACCAGTGGTTTGGAATCTCCTGCCCTCTCTCTTTCCAGATCCTAGTGGAGATGTCCTGGAGCGACACGTTCTTCCCGGCCAACCCCAGGCGCCGCGAGGAGGTCGTCCGCTTAAGCCGGGAGCTGCTCACCCTGATGGAGGGAAACTTCAGGGCCACCAGCTGGCTGGCGGGGCTCCTGAACCAGGAGCTCAAGATCTCCGTCGATCAGCACAAGAGCGTCAAGGAGAACTGCGAGGCGCTTATCGCCGCCATCGCCGGCATCCAGAGCGAGGTGGCCAGGATTGACGAGCGGCTGAGGGACAAACTGGAACCCGCGCTCTACCGCAGGCTTCACAATCTGACCGTTCCCATTTCCGAGCGCGTCAAGGTGGCGAGCAAGGTTTTCAGCAGCGCGTTCGGGATCCTGAGGACTGGCGCGGCCGCCGTCCCGCTGATCAGCAAGGGGGCGGTGCTCAGCCGGATGGTGGCCAGCCTGGGCCGGATCGGCAGCAGTGTTGTGTCCACGGTGGCCCTGGGCGTGCTGGGGCTGGGCGTGGACATGCTCGTCAGCGCCATCCTGGGAGCCGTGGAGCGAGACAACCTGGAGCGAGTCATCCAAGAGTATAGGGAGGCGCTGGCGGATTTCAGACCTGCCTCGGAACAGTATCAGGCTAACATCACGGACGTCATAGCAACGGTCAAAGCCATGCAGGGGTAACAACTAGTACTACAGAGGAGGGGTACCTAGCATTTGGCACCTGACCCAAAGTTGTTGCCCTCAACCCCTCTTCCCAAGATAAGTTGGCTTTCACTTGTGCAGACACATCCCTCTATTTGAGTTATCTCTGCTCTTTATGACTAAAACCTTATTTTAGGACTTTCTTTGCTTAAATCCAGTTTAATTTACTGCATAACAATTCTTAATTTAAGTGTGGTAATTCTGTTTTTTTATTTTTACAGATTTATTACATCATAATTAGATAGTGTGTGTTTTAGACGATTGGATCTAAGATGATTTTTAATGTTTTAAAAATGAACTCCCAAAGTTTACTGAACTTGAACTTTATTGCCATATGTAACCGGTACCTGTACTGGTACAATGGAATTCTTACTTACAGAAAGCCTCTCGATTGTTAAAACAAGTGTGAAAACACAAAGTTCATCAAGACAATATACACACAAACAGTAGACAATGTACAAGTAAACAAGTAAACAGTGTGAATGTAAACAATGCAGATGTGTAAACAATGACTGGAGATGTGCAATAAATAAGAAATCATAATGAGGTAGAGGGTGATAGTGTGGTCCGAGGGGCCTGGATAAATGTGTTCGCCAGTCGCACTGCTTGTGGGTAGAAGCTATTGAAGAATCTGGTGGTCAGTGTCCGTATGCTCTTGTATCTCTTGCCTGAGGGCAGTGGGGTGAAGAGCTCATGCCCGGGGTTGTGACTGTCCTCTGTGATGGCCAGAATTCTACCACGGCAGCAGTCCTCAAAGAGCTGTTTAATCTGGGTGAGACCACAGCCGATGATCTTCTGGGCCATATTGACCATTCTCTACTGTAAGGTGAAGTTTGGGGCAGGAGAACCAGATTTGTGATGCACAGGTCTCTGAAACTCTCCTGTATAGCACATCGCACAGAGGCCTGTCTCATTTTAACTTCTCCAGCTCTGGGGAAATCCGTCTTCCAGGCGTGGGCTGAAATGTTTGTCAGTCTTCCCTGTGAAATGCGTTTGAAATTTGCCTTTTGCAGTCACAAGCAGTTCTTCTGTTTTTCAGGAGCAGTAATGTGGAATGTGGGCTCTGCTGAAGCTGTAAAATTGTATCTGCTTCAAATTAATTGGGGAAGAATTACTGCTTAATCTTGTCCTTAATCTTGTCTGCAATTAATCATTTCATCATTCTGCAAATTGCTAAGCCTTTCAGACTACAAATGCTAGATTGCTTTAGAAACATAGTCTAAAGGTTCCTGTCTGGCTCCATAGCTCCACAAAGCACTTTCAGACTTGAAAGGGTTTGCAATTTCAGTTAATGCATAAGTGATTCATTATAGTTTAGGCCAAAATGATGTAATTCATTTTTTTGGTATTGGGGACAACAGTGTACTAGAATCTTAATATAATAATAATGAAACAAAAACAATATTGACATGTCACAATTCCTAATGTAGTTTAGTTTTCGATATTGCTTTTGCAGCTTTTCAAATTCTCTTTTGACCTTTCTGCTAATGCATGCACTGCTCCAGATCTCATCCCAGTCCAGGTGACCAGGTCATCACTGGCTCTGGTCCTTAAAAGGAGTCTGACAGATCATACTAGCAAAAAACATGAAGCAAACCAAATGTTTTTATTTGCCATCTGAGAATTACATTAATACATTATTAATACATGTAATAATGCTACTAATTTGTAAATGAGGATGTGGTTAAAAGGCTATTAAGCAGAATCACATGATTTCAGAGCGCTGTGTCTTCACTCTGATAAACAGGACATCCCATTGTCCTCTATCAGTACATTCTCCTGCCTTGGTAACCAATGACAGTGCATAACCAGCGGACAATTGGAGCCTAATGCTCTCACTTTTGTCACTTCATATGACAATAACACAATAACAGAAACTGTTCAAGTATAGGGAGCTGTGTCAGCATGCGCAGGCTGCAAAGGAACAAGTAAAGGTTTTTTTCCACACTGAAAAGAGAAAAAGGAAACACAACGTATCGGCTGTGGAGCCGTTGCAGGCGTGAACACACCCGAAGAAGGCTCCACAGCCGAAAGGTTGTGTTTCTTTTCTTCTCTTTTCAGCAGGGAATAAACCTTTACTTGTTCCATTACAGGAATTGTTATGCTGTGTTTTTTATTGTACTAATAGCTGGTATTTCTGGAATGAAAAATGACCAGCGGAATATACTGATACACATTCACCGCATGTGCTCTGTGGGCACACAGAGGCCAACACAGGAAGAAATAAAAGAGATCTGGGAACTTTTGGAAGGAATGGCAATCTCTGCGTGGAGAGATAGGAATTCCTGTAGCAGGGGTTCTCCTCCCTGGTTCCGGGGGTCCGATAACATGAGTCCAGGAACAGAGGGAGACAGAGCTGGGAGCTCTGATCCCTTTGACCTCTGAACGTTGGAACTTTCAGATTATATGGGAATGTGCTCCTATCCTTCAGCTGCACATGGGCAGCCCACTTCCTTGACTGGTTTGACTGGCGCCTCCTGGGCCACACCTGCCCTCAGCCAGTAGTTACTAAGTTTATGTTTGGCGTGTCGGCTGAGGTTTTTCATGTCAATGACTTCCTCATGTTTCCTCTTACGTTAAGACAGTTCCTCTCTTGCCTTTTAATGTTGTTTGCTGTTTGCTTGCGCGTCCGGCACAGCTACACTCTGCCAAAGAGTTTGTCAGATTGTTCCATGTTGTTGTTGTTAAAAGTAAGAGCAGTGTGATTCACAGTCAAATCATGAGCTTATTAATGTGTCCTTTATTAATTGTGTCATTTGCTTTAGGCAGATTGGACCCCAGCATATACAGGATTTAGAACCACATGGATTCACACAAAGTCTTCTTTCTTATATCTGTCTTTCTGATTGCTAAAAGCTGATTGCTAAATGGCAACAAATGGAACAGCTATTACACACAGACTTTATATACTGGGAGGTAAAAACAGGATGCACACACACCTCTGACTGATAATAAATAATAATGTACCAATAGAACTCAGCCCCCCCCTAGTAATAGGTCCCCACCCCCTGCCTCTTAGCCCCCTCAACCACGGTGATCCGGGATAAAGAGCTCGTGACACGCGGATGTCACCATGGCCACCAGAGCGATGAACTCCTGGAAGTCGATCTCCAGGTCTCCATTCTGATCCAGATCTGTGAACAGCTGGTCCAGCGTGTCCGGCTCCTGGATTTTCTGACGAGGCAGAGGAAGAGAGCGGGGGTTCGGAGAGTGCTGGGGAAAGAGGGGGGGCTGTGGTGCAGCAGCGATAATTCGAGAGAGAATGATGGAGAAAGGGGCATGTGTGAGAAAAGGCTGCAGGAGAGAGTGAGGGAGGTCAAGAGAGAGACTGAGGCTGGGGAGGTGGAGGCTTGTTTGTCAGATGCTGGGATAAGGCAGTACAATATTTGGGGTCTCGCCCCCCCCCACACCTGGTCCCGGCCCCCCCCAGCCCCCCCCCACATAGGCCCCGCCTTACCAGAATGAAGTGAGACATCTCATTGTTAATCAGCTCCTTTAGCTCCGCCTTCTTCAGCTTGCGCTTGTGCCCCGAGTACTTGTGGAAGACCTTGATGATGGAGACCATGGAGTTCTCCAGCTCAGACATGTTTCTCTGCTACAGACAGACAGAACAGGAGGTCACAGAACAGCAACAGGACTCGCTCCTGAGGTTCAAAAGTGAGCGTAGGCCAACGGGAGGCTGTGAAATCGACTGTGCCAGTTTATGTGAGCATGAAGAACACGCTGTTCTGGACTCTATGAAAATCAACCTGCCCTTGGTCTCTGTTGCTGCAAAACAACGTATTTGCGGAAATCAAATGCACTTACTTCGTTTGCCATGAAGAAACAGCACGTGGATCTTCTGCTTTTGCGTTCTCGTAGAAACACAGAGAAGCTCCCAGTGAACATAGGCTTTTCACTTCCCTGCAGAAACTATAAAACAGCCACAGTTACACGTATTCAAGATAGAGGAAGAAAACCGGAGTCCTAAATGTTCATGTCCTGCTCCTATACTGCATATCTTGCCCCAGATAGCTGATTCCAAGAAGAAGGCAGAGAGACAGCCGAGCCTGGGGTGGGTAGAGTAATTGGAGAGGAGCAGCTCCCTTCCTCAACCAGACCAGGGATTGAACGCTGGGAGGGACAGTTCTTTAAAGCAGCCAGTCCAGCCTGTCTTGCCACATTATCTTAACCTTTACCACGTTATCAATCTTATCAATAACACTGAGATCACCGCTGACAGGAATGATTGTATTACAGAGTAAATAACCCCATCACTATGGATTTAATCATTCAAAGAGAAATCAGCTCACAAAACGTGCCTACAAAGTCCAGGTTTGTACCTTTAGAGCGATTCACCACAAAACCTCTTCTCCTCTGAAAGCTCCTTCTTTGCTGTCAGGCAGCCATACGCGCTTCACACGACAGTCAATACTCAGTACACTCAGGTTATGCACAGGCAGCCTCCCTGACTCTCCTGTCAGTATCGCAGGAAATCCTTCTCTGTGTTCCACAAGGCCATGAGCCAGACAGCAATCATTACTAAAGACGCAGCAATGCCCAGAGCTAAATCTAAATCAAGTCGGCAGCAACACCATTCTGAACCACAGCAGCAGTAACAACAAAAGCAACAATATTGCTAATGACAAGTAATAGGTTTATTCCATGCTGAAAAAAAAGAAGAAAAAACACAACGTTTTCGGCCGTGGAGCATTCTTCAGGTGTGAGCAGACGGCTCCACGGCCGAAACATTGTGTTTTCTTTCTTCTTTTTTTTCAGCATGGAATAAACCTATTACTTGTTCCTTTGCAGCCTACGCATGCTGATACAGCAATCCACCTGAACTACATATGGCTAATGAGGCCGACCGTGATGATGATATATGTGATTCATAAGTTTCTATTTGCAATTGCAATCAACACCATCTTCATCATCATGGTGATGAATTTACAGGTCCCCTCCCAGGACTTTACCTTTGTGCTGGAGATCCTCTTTCCTCCTGCCCTCTCAGTTCATTCTCTCCACCGAGGGACCTGCCGTCCTCTGAAGGCTCTGGTGAAGTATCTGTCCAAACTGTCACGGACTCGCTGACTCACGCTCTTCCAGAAAGGCTCCACCTCGGCTGAATCGGTGGGTCCACTCCTCTGAGCCAGCACGGAGCCTTCCTGCCTCCTGAGAAGACCACACCTCAACTCAGTGGTCAGGCTTTTAAAGCACTAATGGGCAGGGCGATGGCTGAGGCAGCTGTGGCTGGGCTCTTAGGAGCAGGAGAGCAGACAGGCAGGGGCAGAAAGCTCTGCTCTAATGAGCTTAGTCATTCCCAGACCACATGCAGACCGGAGATGGAAGATGAAGTTACAGGCAATAATTCATTATTGAAAGCCTGTGATGTTTTCAGCAGTTGTTCACTAAGATGTCACATGCCACAAATGCTGTCTTTTCTTTTTACATTGGGAAAATATGAAAACAAATTAATAGTTCCTGGTAATAATAATTATCTCTGTTCCTCCATTTCCTGTTCTCAGAAACAGCATGATCTCACCAGCTTTTGTAAATAACATCTGCAGAACCCCTCTCTGCTTCATTATTGACAATTGCCTGATGCTTTTATCCGAAGCAAGTTACATCTGCATCCATTCAGACAGCTGGGCTTGAGCCCATGAGCCTCTACACCAGAGCCCTCTCCACTCCTCCACACTGCCTCCAGTCCCTGTTCTCTCCTGATCTCTCCGAGCATTTCATTTCACAGCTAGAATTTCTAAACTGCACGCAGACCAGGTCAAACATTTTATAATAATAATAAACTTTATTTTATATAGCACCTTTCTTCTCAAAGCACTTTACAGAACAAAACAAATACACATTATAAACACAATGAAAATACACAATGAGAGGAGACAGTAGATAGGTTTACTGAATACAGTAGGAGCAAAGGGATAACCAGTTAAGTAAAAGCCCTTCTAAAAGAGAAGGTTTTGACTTTATATTTGAAGTGTTTTAGGGAAGGTGACCTTCTGCTCTCCTTAGGGATAGAGTTCCAGAGGTCTGGGGTATAACAGGAGAAGGCCCTGTCACCCATAGAGTGTAGATGGACTTGTGGACAGACAGGAGACCCGAATGAGAAGAGCGAAGGTTGTGAGGTGGGGAGCATGGTGAAAGTAGCTCAGACAGGTACTGAGGTGCCAAGCCATGCAGAGCCTTATAGGTGAGCATGAGGATTTTGAAGTCGACACGAAACCTGACAAAAGCCAGTGCAAGGACTCCAGAATAGGAGTAATATGATCACTTGCACTAGACCTGGGCAGGATTCTGGACATACTGGAGTTTTAGTAAGTAATCCAAGCCAGAAGGAGTTTAAACCTGGGGACCTGGCATTGGCAATGTTTCTGGTTAGTCATGCCAGTGAGGACTGGTCAATTATTTAAATGCTAATAAGTATGTGTATTCTGTGTGTATGGGAGATTAAATTGATGGGAGTTGTGTTCTAATCGTTATATCATTTTCCTCACATTTCCAAGGTGGCTAAGGGAAGAGAGTGATGAGTCAATACAAATTGAAAAAAGAGAACAGTGTCTCTGCGCAGCTTGCGTACACATCTCCCCACCAACAAGCCTGCCAAAGTGATGGGAAAAATGCAGGGTCATTAAAACGTACTATAGTTGCATCATCTTCGTTTAAAGCGATCAGTCTCCGCTTTCTTCACAACCTGATTGGCTGAAGGGCCTGCCATTATGACGTAATCGTCCTTCATTGTGACCGCACCGTGACGTCAGTGACCATGGCCATGGAATGAGATAGCGGTGTTTTAAGGCCAGTCGGTGGGAATGAGATGCCGAAGCAAGACAAATCAAAAGCTAAGGTATTTTTTCATTGTTTTTAATTAATGTTCCTAGTAGTTATTGATTTTTTTTAATATGCCGCTGTCAGAGTCTTACAGTAGTAGCAAAGTCAAACATAAAAAACAATACGATGCCCGACTTTTATTGTCATTTTGTTTTCACAAATATGCGTTTCCAGTGGTTCCTAAAGTGTTTATAACCCACGAAACATTTTCGCTTATGGTGGAGAGGACGGGTCTTTCCCCTCGGTACACATTCGCTGTATTTCATTTTTTCTTAGGGAACAAACTAAAAAAAAACTTTTTAAGAAGTAAAAATTATCATTGTTTTTAATAATGGCGAAGCAAAGACGTTCATTGAAGTACAATGTAAAATATTTCTGCACCGCCAGTTGTTGATGGCAGTTGATCAGTCTAAATCAGTTTTAAAGTCGTTTAAAATACGAATAATTAGACTTTCCGAGTCTCTCGTTGACTGGTACTTCGTTGCTGCTGAATGTAGTTCTCGACAAACAGACGGTACGTCCTCTGAGGGCGGAGGAAATGGGTGTCGGTCAGACCAGGTTGATAAAGTAAAGGTTTATTCCACGCTGAAAAGAAAAGAGGCGCAGCGTGTCGGTTGCAGAGCCCTCTTGACACCTGAAGAAGCTCCCTGCTCGACCAGGTTCATGAGCGTGACGCGTGTTCCCCCCCTCCAGGGCAGCCCGTTCACCGCCTACGCTCTGCAGGGGCGCTCGCTAGACCAGCCCCTGGGCACCAAGCTCCCGGCTCTGCCAGGCTGCCAGAGCACGCTGTACAGGGGGACCCTCTGCGAGAAGGTGAGTCCCGCGAGCCGCTGGAGGACCCCCGGACCCGCGCGGTTCTGGGGGCTCGCTCCGATGCTGCAAAGCGCCGCGCGCGAGACCGAGCCGGGAGGTGGACGGTGAAAACATGCCATCAAAAATATCAGAAGAAAAAAACCTCTGCCAGCAGCTAAATCACCCTGCAACTCACCACTGGCAGCCCCACTGAAGCTCAGCAGGTGTGAGCCTGGTCAGTACCTGGATGGGAGACCTCCTGGGAAAAACTAAGGTTGCTGCTGGAAGAGGTGTTAGTGGGGCCAGTAG